GTTTCTGAGGCTATAAATCTTTACAAGAGCAGAAATCCTCATCTTTCTCCCGTGGAAGAGCTGGTAGTTTCAAACTGCTGACCCTGAGGTTCGCAGCCCAATTTGTAACCACTATGCTTCCAGAGCTCCTTAACTTATATATTAGGCTGCTCTATTTAGTCAAACGTTTAATCAACTCAACCCTTATGTGATGGCTGGAAATGCAATTGCCTGGCAGGGACAGACCAAATGGTTTCATGTATCTTATTCAGTCTGCTCCAGGACATTCATCACCCCTGCTCTAGACTAAGGTTAGGAGACTTAGCACTATGTCAATGTTATCATTAAAAGAAAAAAAAAATCTTCAAAATGAATGCCTAGGTTCCAAGAAATTGTATAGGTTTCATTTATATCTTTTTTGTCCCCTGTGAATATTTATTGACTTCAAATTGCTAACCAGGTGCTGAAGATTTAAAAATGAGCAAGATAGATCAAATCTCTGCCTTTGTTGTTAGGTGCCATGGAGTCAATTCCAATGCATAACAACCTTAAGCACAACAAAACAAAATACTTCTTTGTCCTGTGCCATCATCACAATTACTGTTAACTTCGAGCCCACTGCAGCTGCCACTATTTGAATCCATCTCATTGGAGGCCTTCCTCTTTTTCAATGACCTTCCACTTTACCAAATACATCTTTCTGCAGGGACCAGTCCCTCCTTCAAACAATATATTTAAAGAATGAGAGACAAAGTCTGGCCATCCTGACTTCCAAGGCGCCTTCTGGTTGTGCTTCATTGTTTGTTTTTCTAGCAGTCCATGGTACTTTTAATATTCTTCTCCAACATCAAAACTCAAATGCATCAATTAGTTTTGGACTTCTTTATTCACTGTCTAACTTTCACATGCTTAAGAGGCTACTGAAAATACCATGACTTGGGTCAGGCGCACTGATGAACACTTCAAAGAGTTCTTGTACTGAAGATTTGCCTATTGCAATACGTTGCTTGATTTCTTGACTGCTGCTTCCATGAGTTGATGGTGGATCTCAGCAAAATGAAGTGTTTGACAGGTTCAACCTTTTCTCCATTTATCATGATGCTATTTAATGGTCCAGTGGTGAGGATTTTTGTTTTCTTTCATTAAGGTATAACCTATACCCGAAGACTGTGGTCTTGGATCATCATAATTTAAGTATTTTAAATCCTCTGTTTTCAGCAAGCAAGGCTGTGTCATCTGCATATCACAAGTTGTTAACGAGTCTACCTCTAATCCTGTTGCCATGTTCTTCTTTATAAATCCAGCTTCTCGAATTATTTGCTCAGCATACAAATTGATAAGGAGCTCTGGTAGCACAGTGGTTATGAATCAGGCTGCGAACCGTACGGTCAGCAGTTCGAAACTACCAGCCAGCTGTTCTGTGGGAGGAAGATGAGGCTTTCTGCTCCCATATAAATTTTTCAGCCTCAGAAACCCTGTACAGAGTCGCTATGAGTTGTAATCAACTCCATGGCACATAACCACCATCACCATACTTAAGTATGGCAAAGGCTGCTTAAGTATGGTAAAAGAATACAACCCTCGTGCACACCATTCCTGATTTTAAACAATTCAGTGTCCCCTTGTTCTGTTTCAGCGAATGTCTTGTGGTGTGTGAGTTCCTCGGGAGCACAATTAAGTGTTCTGGAATACTCATTCTAAGCAATATGATCCATAGCTTGTCATGATCCACACATTCGAAAGCCTTTGCGTAGTCAATGAAGCACAAGTAACATCTTTCTGGTATTCTCTGCTTTTAGCCAAGATCCATCTGACATAAGCAGTGGTATCGCTCAGTCAATGTCCTTGTCTGAATCCAGATTGAACCTCTGCAGTTCACAATCAATGTACTGTTACAGTCATTTCTTAATTATCTTGATCAAAATTTTATTTGCATGTGATATTAATGAACTAGTGTCCAATGAGTTCAGCAACCTAAATAAACAGGCAATGACAAGAAGGAGAACCAAAGAGAAAGTGTAGGGCACTCAGAGAATACGTACCAGGGTGTTAAGAGGGTTTTGTGGACAGATAAGGATTTCTAGTAAGGCATTTGTCTTAACAATGAGAGCCGAAGATTAAAAAGTCAAACCAAGAAGGAGGAAGACTTCTCTTGACATAGGAACATGGGCAAGGGCAGCAAGAGGAATTTCAAGGAAATAAAAGAAAATTCAGAGGAGGTACAAGCAAGGATCATGAGGTAACTTAAGCACCAAACACCAAAGGAACTCCAACTTAATCTTAAATGCAATGGGGAGTCACTGAAAGTGTTTCAAGCAGGGGAGTACTATAATCACATTTGCTTTGCAACTGCGTCATTCTAGCTATGAAGAATATATGGGAGCAGAGTTCTATCCCTAGTACAGGTCAAGGAGACTGCATTACGGGATGGAACAAAGTTAGTAGAAACAATTAAGTTGACAGAGCTAGATGACTGGACATGGAAGGACTGAGAGAGAATAGCGAACCAATATGGATGTGTCCGCAGGTTTCTAGATAGGTAACTGAATTGCTGCAGATGCCATTTCCTAAGAAATAAACAGCCAGTAAGAAAAACGAGAGAAAGAACCTGGCACAACAGCTGAATATTTCAGCTATCATAATTTTCCCTAACGTTGTTAAGTGCCGCACACAAAACCGTTAATACAAACTTTAGGAGTCCCACTATGGCGCTATGGGTTAATTCGCTGGACTGCAAAGTTGGTTTGAACTGCAAGGTCAGCGATTGAAGCTCACCAGCCACTCCGCGGAAACCCTACACTGGGTCGCTGTGGGTTGGAACTCACTCGACCCCATCTAGCAACAGTAACTATACAAACTTTAAGGAGTACCCACCAACGGCGAAAGATGAGGCTTTCCGTTCCCATACAGATGTAAAAAGCATCGGAAACCCTATACAGGATCGCTCTGAGTTGGAACACACTCGATGTTACTGAACAAACACCATCCAAATTTTGCTCCTTGTTTTTGTTTTTAATCTCCCTGAAAGCTACTTCTGTGTTGTAACCTACCGAAGAGCTTCTTCTCAGAAGAGGGAGCCCTAGAGCACAACCTCAGAGAAGAGCAGCTGTTAGCCTAAGGAAATCGGAAGTTTTTGAAAGACTTCAATTACTCCTAGAAGCACTGCTATCACTGCAGGTTAAATGCTTGGCTACCAACTCTAACTCTGAAAGAGAAAGATACAACAATCCGTTTCTGTAAAGATTCACAGCTGTGGAAACCCTATAAGGCAGTTTTTCTCTGACCCACAGTTGTTATTATGTGCCGTGGAACCGGTTCGGTTTTATAGCGACCCTCTATGGGGTTTCCGAGGCTGTAAATCTTTATGGGAGAAGAAAGCCTCATCTCCAGCGGAACAGCTGAAAGTCTCGAACTGGTGACCTCAGGGTTAGCAGCTCCAGTCGTAACCACTACACTACCAGGGGTTCATTATAAAGGTTTCCGAAAGGTTCCAGGGCAGCTTCGCCCTTAAAAGTCTACAGACGCCGAGGATAAGGGCGCTGACCAGTTAAACTGCCGGACTACTGGCCCCGCCCATGGGGGGGGGGGAGGTGGCTGAGTCTCTGATGCCCGGATGTGGAGGGGCCGGACAAAGTGTGTCACGTGGAGACGACGACAGCCGTTCAGTGACGGAGACGCCTTCGTATCACGTGGTCGTCTTCCACTCAACCAATGGGCGAGCGCAGCGGGGAATTTCGAATGTGTACCTGGTAGTCTCTAGAGAAGATAGACTGTGCCCGAGTCCTACCTATCGGGGGATCCAGGCTGGGGGTTTGCACGCGGTGGGATATCCTCGTTGGATCTTGGAATGTGAAAAGGACTACTGCAGTGGCAGAGACAGCCGCCAAGGTACTGCTTTGGACGCGTGCGCGGGAAGCTGACCGCCGGCCCTGTTTCCGGCACTCCTTCCTTATCTTCCGCTTCTCTCGGCCTTATGTCCCCCGGCGGAAAAAGAAGGCCGCTGAGTTTCGGGCGTGCAACTGGGACGTCGTGCCCACTGTCCGTCTCCCGACCCCCTGTTCGTCTCCGATCTCAGTGTGGTGGCGGAGAATTTGGTGTGTGGAGTCGAGAGTCGCGAGTGCAGGTCTCGCTCAACAAATTGACCTACGCTTTCTTCTTTTGTTTTTGATGCGCGTTTCTCCTTTTGTTTAAGTGGGGACGCTCCCGCGCCAATCTTGCGACGTGTGTAGCTTCAGTTATGTGTAAATAAAGCACTTATGGTAGTTAACAACCGGGGTCACCGGTTACTGTTATTGGTGTTAAAGTACCTTCGAATTGGTACCAACTCAGCAACCCTGTATAGTGTTTACGAGGAGCGGTTGGTGATTTGAACTGCCAGCTTTGTGGCTAGTAGTCCAGCGCTTATCCTACAACGCCACACCTGGCCTCCCCTGTTTGTTCTAGTCTTTGGGCTTTGTCAGTTACCCTTGAGAGGGCCACACTGATCAGAGTCCTATCTGACTGACTGTCTTAGCAGCAGGACTGATGAGAGAATGATAGACGGAGGTCATATATCCCACGTTCTTTTGAATTGGGACCCCTTAACAAGAATGGGGACCCTACAACAAGAATGCCACACTGATGAGACTGACCTGTTTTCATTCGCACTCCCTACCACACCCCCTGTCAAAAGCATCCGCCTTGTTATGTTAGTGACTCTGCACTGGGTTTCCGAGGCTGCAAATCTTTACGGGAGCAGAAAGCCTCATCTTTCTCCCATGGAACAGCTGGTAGTTTCGAACCTGCAGTCCATGAGGTTAGCAGCCCGATTCGTAGCCACTACGCCACCAGACTTTGACACACCTTCCCATTTGTCAAATGTCTTATGACGTTAACTTGATTAAATGTTAATAGGGATGATTTTCAAAAGCATCAAACCTGCTATCTGTTTAGTCAGCTCTTTATGTATTTCTAACCTTATATTTTATAGCACTGTTGCCACCTTGAAAGATTAAATCTTTTTCTTTATACTTAGCTAAAAGATGACCAAGGAACGGTGCCTTAAAAGGTCCTTTCAGGATAGTCTTGAAGAAATAAAAAAACGAATGAAAGAGAAAAGGAATAAGAACCTGTCCGAGCTTGGCAAACGCAAGTCATTTGTAGCTGCACCGTGCCAAATAACCAGTAAGAGATTTTCATGTTGTCCTTTTGCATCATTTTTAAAATTTAGATTTAGTAACTAATATAATTTTTAAATCCTCTTTCAGGCAACACTTCCACACTTCTAAAAAATTACCAGGACAATAATAGAATGTTAGTTTTGGCATTGGAAAATGAAAAATACAAAGTGAGAGAAGCCGAAGATGTCATTCTACAACTGAGAAAAGAATGCTACTACCTCACATGTCAACTGTATTCACTCAAAGAAAAATTTACTTCACAACAAATGAAAGAACTTGCCCAGGTATTTTCATTACAAAGGCTGTTTTTTTAGGGAAAAAAAAAGTTAAGACCATTAATCTGTAGTTTAGATCTAACTATTGTGTCTGGTCATTTGTGAAAGCTTCTTGCATAAAGATGATTGAGGCTTGTAATTGTCTAACTTAGTTCTAAAAGGAAATAAGCGAGACAACGTCCATGTATTGCATAGGGTGACAAGTCTTCGAAGGCATTGAGATCCTGGTGCATGAACTGTCCCAGACCTTGCTTGATACACATCGCTTCACTTGTATCCTTTCTGGTTATAGGTGGGTAACTATAAATACAGGTGATAGTTTCTGAATTTTACCAGTCACAGAGAATTAACAAACCTACAAGGGGCATTAAGAGTCTGGCATAGCTTGGTGTAGCTGTTTAGGAGGAAGGTTGCATATACCATCTTAAGGACACAGTCCTAACTTCCGAGGAGCCAGCTTTGGATGGCTGGTCCACAGGGAAAATCTGCATAGGTAGTTGATGAAGGAAAACACTCCTTCGAACTTGTGACCTAGTCCTGGGAGACTCAAGATAGTGTGTGTGTAACCAGTTTGAGGTGTAGACGCTGGTTGTGCTGCTCTGCTTTGACTGGGCCTCAGGTGGCCAGGGATATTTTGACCTAACTCCAGGTAGCCAGGAGTGAAGTCTGATCTAACTCTGGATGGTTGGGGTTGGAGAGAGAACTCCCATGGAAGTGGCAGGTAATAATGTATGGAGATGTGAGAAAGTAAGGCCTAGCTCTGTTTTCAGCAGGAATTAGAGTCATGCAGATCCTTGCCATGTAATCGGTGATAAAAGTGGAGTTTGCCCACCTTGTCCCTTTGTTAGTGCTGCATCCCTTTGAATGTTGGGCTAAGTAAGTCAGTTAATGCTGCTAAGCTAAAGGCCTAAAAGTGGCAGCTGAATTGGACTAGTCCAAAAAGTTTGATTAATGCCATCATTTTTAGCTTTCTATTTTGTTTTACCCTCCAATGGAATTCTATAAGAACTGCCTGTATTTGGGGCAGACAGTAGGACTTTTGTGCTTTTGAGGGAATCATATTACTATTTATTAACCAAGCAAGGAAGATTGTACATTAACTCCCAAACAAGAAATATGTGAACATTTTTCAGACTGTATTTTTAATCTAATTCTGTTTGTGTCCAAGGTTGTATAGAAGAGGTTCAAGTATAGTTCTGCCAGCCAAAATGTAGCACACATTGAGAAAGTTTAATTTAGGATTATTTTTCTGTCTTGTTTCACATTAATCCTGAGAAGAGTAACAATGAGCCAGTTTCTATTGCCCTTTAACCAAAAGCCATTGCTAGGGAAACTGCTTGGGGCAGAGAAAAGAAAAGCAGTGTTTAAGTGTCAGAGGTAAACAGAAAAAAATTTACTTTCTTCCTCCCCTACCTCTTTGCTATGCCAGTGAAGACCGTTGCACTGGCATGTAGTTCAAAAGGCCAGCAGGAAAGCCAGACCATGATGATTTAGCTAGGGGTATTGTTGTTGTTGTGCCGTGGAGTTGGTTCCAACTCACAGGGAGTTGAAAAAGGAAGTACAACTAGTTTGCCATTGACAGAAGAAGTCAGTAAAATCTTTCTTCCTTACAATACAGGTGATTGCATATTTTTAATGTATGAAATATAGAATATGTTGTGTATGTGTATAGATAACATACATATTTGCATATGTACATTTGACTATGTATTATTTACTTTCAATAATAGCACTAGTTTTAGACCATAAGCTATTTTTATATTAACATTTCATGTCAAGAAGTATAAAACTTTTAGCAGGATTAAATTTCTGATGTCTTTTAGCTCATTCAGTGTAGTTTGTACGAGGGGACTTCAAAAACTTTGTGAAAACATGAAATTACTTGGAAAACAGTAGTTTGCAAAATAATGGAATTATCTTTTAATTCCGTTTTCTCAGTTTTTGAAGCTCCTTCCTGTTTAAGTGATTTCCCATAACACCTAGTCCACAATCTAAATTCATGGCTCTCAAGGCCCTACTTCATCTGACTTCTCCATGGCTATCTGCCATTCTCAGTGACTATGACCCAGTCACCATGGCCTTTCATTCCTCAGCACACCAAAAATACCAGCAAAATATCTTCTGCATTTGCTGTTTCCACTACTTTCTTCTCCCCCCTCCATCTTCCATTGACAGACTCCTTTAGATTCTTTAGATTTCACATCAAAGTACCCTGTCTAAAGGAACCTTCCAACATCAACTGTCACTTTACCCTAGCTGTTTCCTACATAGCCCTTACTGCTATCTGAAATCATACACCTCCTTTTTTCTTATCTGTCTCCTTGCATTAGAATATAAACCTTAAGAGGGCAGTATTTAATCTATTTTTAGCACCTCTTGTCCCGGTTTCTAGAACAGAGCTTGGCACCATAGCAAACTATCAATAAGTACTTAGTGTTGAATAAATGAATGCTCTGTTCTGAATACTTCTATTGTTAACAAGTGTTTTCTTGTATTTGAATATATTAACAGAACCAGGAAGCATATCCCTCTGGAATGGACACTAATAATGATGACAGCTCTGGGGAGTTATCTGTGAAGAATTTACAGTTAGTATTGAAATTCTTTATTAAAATCATATTCAATGTACATTTATGAAAATAAATTTTCATCATATTGATTTATACTTGGAGTCTACTGTGCTATTAAGAAAATTTGATAAGTTGAAATTCTGTTACAGATAGTCAAACTAAAGCTTCTCCCTCTCCCCCCCCAAATATATTTACTTTCTTGATGGCTTAATGACTTTTCTTAATGGAAACAGAAAGCTTCTCTCAACTGTTTAAACTGATTCTTTCATAGCATTTTTCTCTGTCATTTTTTTTTCCTCAGAAATATTTGGTTATTCAAATAGTGGATTTCTTTTGTTGTTGTTTTGCCAGTGTTACATATAGCCTGGCTACAGACAAAATATAGTAAAATTTGGAAGACAGCTATCTGGCCAGCTGATTGGAAGAGATCCGTATTTATGCCTGTTCCAAAGAGAGGTGACCCAATGGAATGCAGAAATCATCGGACAATATCTTTGATGTCCCATGCAAGTAAAGTTTTGCTAAAGATAATACAGAAATGGCTGCAAGCATACATTGACAGAGAACTTACAGAGGTTCAAGCCGGATTCAGAAGAGGACGTAGAATGAGGGATATCATTGCTGATGTCTGATGGAACTTGGCTAAAAGCAGAGAACACCAGAAAGATGTTTACCTGTGTTTTATTGACTACGCAAGGGCTTTCGATTGTGTGGATCATGACAAGCTATGGACAACATTGCGAAGTATGAGTATTCCTGAACACTTAATTGTGCTCTTGAGAAATCTGTATATGGACCAAGAGGCAGTTGTTTGAACAGAACATGGAAACACTGAACGGTTTAAAATTAAGAAAGATGTGTGACAGAGTTGTATTTTTTCACCATACTTATTCAACCTGTATGCTGAGCAAATAATCCGAGAAGCTGGGTTATATGAAGAAAAACGTGGCATCAGGATTGGAGAAAGACTCATTAACAACCTGCAATATGCAGATAATACAACCTTGCTTCTTGAAAGTGAAGAGTAAGAAAGTAAAATGCTTACTGATGAAGGTCAAAGAGCACAGCCTTCAGTATAGATTGCATCTCAATGTAAAGGAAACAAAAATCCTCACCACTGGACCAATAAACAACATTCTTGTCAATGGATAAAAGACTGAAGTTGTCAAGGACTTCATTCTTTTTGGATCAACTATCAACACTCATGGAAGCAGCAGTCAAGAAATGAAAAGATATATTGCAAGTGTTGAAGAGCAAAGCTGTCAGCTTGAAGACTAAGGTGCGCCTGACTCAAACCATGGTATTTTCAATAACCTCATATGCATGCAAAAGCTGGACAGTGAATACGGAAGACCATAGAAGAATTGATGCTTTTGAGTTATGATGTTGGAGGTGAATATTGAAAGTGTCATGGGCTGTCAAAAGAACAAGCAGATCTATGTTGGAAGAAGTGTAGCCAGAGTGCTCCTTGGAGGCCAGGATGGCCAAACTTCATCTCTCATGCTTTGGACATATTATCAGGAGGGACCAGTCTCTGGAGAAGGATATTATGTTTGGCAAGGTGGAAGGTCAGAGAAAAAGACGAAGACCCCCAGCTGGATGGATTGGCAAAGTGGCAGCATCAATGTGCTCAAGTGTGGCAACAATTGTGAGGTTGGCCCAGGACCTGGCAGTGTTTTGTTCTGTTGTGCATAGGGTCGCTATGAATCTGTACTCGGTGGCACCTAACAACAACATATTTATCATAGCTGTCAGACTGTTTTGCTGAACCAGATTATTTTTAAATACGATTACACCCCATGTGCCTTTATCCCCATCTCTAGAATGAAGTATATTTTCTTTGCTTGTTTTATTGAGACGGTAAAATACACAAATCTTAAGTGCACAATTTGATGAGCTAACACACGCCTTTGAAACCCAAACCTTCATGAAGGTTTAGAACAACACCATTACTTTATCCCAGGAATTCACAATGTCAGCACTGTAATATTTTGGACCAGGTGATTCCTTGTAGACGCTTTCGTATGCATTGTGGGATGCTTAACAGCAGCCCCAGAGTCTACCCACTAGATTGCAATGACACCCTCATGTGTCACAGCCAAAAATGTCTCCAGACTTTGTTAATGTCTCCCAGAGGGCCTAATCATCCCCGCTGAGAAGCACTACTATGGACGTTTTCCTCCCAAGCCTTTGTCATTCTCCTCACAGAAGTAACCACAGATACTATTTCTATGCTCACAGATTAATTTTAATCCTAGATAGTTTTCAGCTACTGGATTTAAGATTTCTAAAATAATTGTTAGGTGGTTACCACAGCTCCGTTACCTAAAGCTATATTTAATTTTTGATGTCTGAAAGGAGAGAGTTTCTTAACCAGCAACGCTACCCCAGAAGTCCTAACATACAGTGAAGCTACTAGTAATAGTATTAAAGCATAAAGAAAGTTTCTTGTTTGATAAGCCAAAGTGGCCTTAAAGAATATGAAGTGTTAAGCAACTTCAAAGGAGTTGATACTACATTGCCGTAAAAGTATGCAACACCAACACATCACAGCTCTGTTGATGATTAAAGCAGGCTATGAAATATTTGGTGAGTCAGTTCTGATTGGCTGTTTCTGCAGTTAAATAAAATTACAAGTTCTGGTATGTTTTCAGAAGGAACTGTCCAATTTGAGTGTGTTAGTTCATGAAATTCCAGTGGAAAGTATCAGTGAAAACAAACCAGCCTCTGTATAATTAGGTGTTTTCTGGTTTCCTTTAATACAGAACAAATGTACAGATTTGGAATGGAATGATGAAACAAACTAAAAATAAAAATAAATTTAAAGCATATAATTTAGGAAAATATTACATTTGCTTTGTACATGATTGTTCAATAAATTTCTTCTTTTTTTTTTAATTGATATTTTCTAAGGCAAATTCCTCCTCAGGAAGCTGACCCCCCAGGACAAGTAGAATCATTCCGAACAGAAGGTAATTCAAGTGAAAATCTAAAATACTATCAAGGGTAACAGCAAATCTTTGTGAATAAGTAATACAATTTAAATTACTCTAATTTTTTTTGTTGTTGTTGTTTCTTTCTGTCTTAATCTGCTCATCTGGAATTCTGCTCAAATTAAATCAGTTTATTTCACACAAAATGATAGAATCTTAAAATGCACTCATGTACTGTGCCATAGGAGTCCTGGTGTGGCGCTGTGGATTAATGCACAAGATTGCAGAGCCATTTTAACTGCAAGGTCAGCGGTTCAAGCTCACCACCTGTGCCTCGGAAACCCTATACAGGGTTGCTGTGGGTCAGAATTGACCTGACGACACTTAACAACCACAACTGTGCCGTAACTATCCTCAGAATCTTTGGCTATAGCTCTGGCTACAGTTTACTCAGCCCTATATGTACCCAGTATGTACCAAAGGAGTCCTGGTGTGGCACTGTGGGCTAATGCATCAGATTGTAAAGTCATTTGCATTACAAGGTCAGTAGTTCAAGCTCACCAACTGCTCCTTAAAAACCCTATACAGGATCGGTATGGTTCAGAATCTACTTGATGGCACTTAACAACAACATATGTACCCAACAGAGCTCTGGTAGCATAGTTATAAGTTGGGTTGCTAACCTCAGGGTCAGCAGTTTGAAACTACGGGCCATGGAGTTCCATGGGAGAAAGATGAGGCTTTCTGCTCCCATAGAGATTTACAACCTCAGAAACCCTATGCAGAGTCTCTATGAGTCAGAACCAACTCCATGGCACATAACTGCCTCCACCACATGTACCCACTTATGCATTAGGCATTTTACATACAGCTAACTTGGAATACAGGTACAGTCAGTGCCATTTTACGTAGATTCAAAGTAAAGCATCTCAAGAGGTAGCCCAGCTCACAAGAGCTAGGGTTTAAACCCAAAGTTGAACTCCAAAGCTGTACTCTTAATTTTTATAAATTAATGAGTCAAATTATACAACACTCTCCTCTACTTGAACTAAGCTTTGAAGAAGAGATAGTGTTTGAATAAAACCAGCTGAATATGCTTACTTTTCCCAACAATGTGGATTATAATTCTTATCTAGAAGATTCTCCAACTATTTACATCTTACTCATTTTTCAAAGAAGAACCTTGTTACCACTTAATCTGTCCGCCTATAGGATGTGAGGTTTTCTTCCTCTGAATGCTGCAGTCACAGTTACAGAGACTTCTAATTTATAAGTTATTTTTACAGATAATGTTTATAATTCTAAGCTTACTCTTTTTATTACCCCTAGAACCTAGTAATATTATAAATAAATATTGTTGTTAGGTGCCTTTGAGTCGGTTCCAACTCATAATGACCCTGTGCAGCGTTTCTGAGCCTTTTTAAATCTGTGTGTGAGAACAAAATCTCACCTTTATGCTGAGCTAAATAAAATAGGTGGTAGATATTTGATTGGTGAATTTGTTAGGTGTTTCAGTTGAGTAGTTGGATTTCTTCAAACTAGAGGCATACAAAGCCCCTAATTAGCATATGTTTTTAAAGGTTATATATGATTCTTCCACAGGTCAGATGTAAGTCATCAGTTGATCATTGCCAAGCAAAGTAAACTCTGCACATTTTTGTTTATTACAGTAAATGTAAGAAAACTACAGAAGACTTTTTAGTCACTCCATTTTTTAATATTAAATTTTGAGATTATTGAAATGAAAATTTCCATAAAGTTAAACTGTTGTTCTTCATTTTTTGAATTCTCAGAGCAGATACCTGCTATTTCTCCTGAAAGACTACAATTTGAGTTTCATTCAGATGAAGATAAGTGTCCCAATAATGCCTTACCTGGAAACGTATCTGTCCGTCGAAATTTAAAGAAATATTTTAGCAATCAATGTCACTTCAATACATTAGGTGACACCGAACTCAGTCATCTGACAGGACAATCTTTTGAATTTGAAACAATGAGAATCGCAGACCCGCTCTTGAATATACACATGCCTGGAAATGTAGAGCAAGATGTTTGTCAATGGAACAAAGACCAAAATAACTTATCTCCAAAGCTGACTCACCCAGGAAGACTTACTGAAACAGAACTTATTTTAGAGTCTAACTCTGAACAAACTAAAACTAAAAATAGAAATGCACAAAGAAGAAAAAGAGAAGAGAATAGAAAAGCTAACAGAAGGAGAAAATCAAAGTCTGTAACAAGATGTAAAGGGAGCAAATGTGAAAATAAAAAAACTGTTTTCAAAAACAAATTGAATAAAGCTGTCAGTTCCAATGATGCTTATAATTTTAATTTGGAAGAGGGTGTTCATCTCACACCTTTCCGACAAAATGTGAGAAGCAGTGATTCTACAAGAAAAGAAAGCAGCAGTGAGTCTGATGTCAGCATCTGTGAATCAAGTGATTCAGGAGATGATTCAGATGACTTCTATTTGCCTTCTAAAAGCACTTGTAAGAACATTAAAAATCTGGACATCAAATTAGATAGGAGCCCGATCACAAGGCCTCGGTCTAAAAGAGCAACAAAATATACGGATGAAAAGGAGATGGAGGGTTCCAAGCCAACCGAAAGTTCTACTAGTAAGTAATCTACGTGTTTTATTTTTAATGTTTATGATAAATGATTGTTTCCTGATGCATATATACCATACTGTATTTGCCATCTGTCTCCGTAGGGGAGGTTGAAGACTTACCATCTGTCTGTCTTTGAGGGAAGCTATAAACTTTTACAACAGGGGGACAGTGGATGGAAACCACAGTTGTGTTGTTCCAACCTACTTCAAGAGAATTTAAATCCTCCTCAACAATAAATACTGTATTATAAAGCATTTTTATGCCCAGTAATGAAGCCTGCAAGAGGGGCAGGGGACTTTCTTGTTAATTTAACGTATGAAGTGCCATTGAGTCAGTTCTGGCTCATAACCCTGTATAGGGTTTCCAAGGAGCGGCTGGTGAGTTTGAACTGCTGATCTTATGGTTCAAACCAAACTTAAGGTCGAGTGTTTATCCTACTCCCTGCGGCGCCACACCAGGACTCCTTTGTGTTAAGAAGTAAATGGAATTAAATTACCTTTCCCCTATACACATCTGAACCACCCCCATGAAAATGAAATCAAATTTGAATCCAGCTATCTGGCATTTTAATGACTTTGCTGTATTTCTTTGTAAGACATTTCTCATCTAAACATTGCTCAGAAATTCATGGTTTAATTGTTGGTACTCTACCTGAACCTCTTACAGAGATTCTCATCTGGGAAATTTCTTTGATGTGGTAAAACTAACATACACAAGACAGGTTCTACCTTTATCAAGATACTGTTGTTTCATTTGGTCCTCAGAACAACTATGTGAAGTATACATATCATACCTGCTTTGTTTCTAAGGAAACTAAAGCCTAACAAAGTTAAATGACTTTCCATGAGTCTGACTCAAGTCCACAGAAACTAACAACAGCATGCAAATTTTTTTTTTTTTTTTTTAAGATGGGAAGTTTGACTTTTGTAGCTATTTGAAAAGATTTGTTTTTGTTTTGTTTTGTAGTGTCCTTACTATATGCTGTGTACATTCCTCCTAGTATAGATATAGTTCCAAAGATGTGAAGTAAATTGGATACTTGGATACGTAGAAAAAATATTGGATAACTTCTTAACGTATTAACTTTACTAAAAAGAACTCCTTTCCTCCAGCTTACAGAGAGGCAATGTTTAGGATTCTCATTTATTTAATGGAATGGATTTAAATGGGTTTTTTTAAGACTATCAGAAGCCCCTGAATTGTAAACTTTGGTATTTAAAGACATAGAATTTTTGATGATTCCAAATAGCAAGATATGACTAAAATAAAATTCCATAATTAATTATGCTGTTATTATAAAATGATAATTTTAAATTTTCTGTTTTGGAACCATATTCAGTAAAAGTTATTTTTTTAGGTGCACCACCTAAAAATCAACAATCACCTCATCTTAGTCTAAAGGATATCACCAACGTTTCCTTGATGCCTGTAATTAGAATTAGAAAACTTTCTCTTTCTCCAAAAAAGAATCTTGAAAACCCAACATCATCATCTATGCCTAAGCGTAGGTGCACTGCCAGCGTGAACTATAAGGAACCCACACTCTCTTCGTAAGTATTTGATTTGTGGTAACTGATTTTAAATGATACATTTTGGGAGAATAAAGTTCAAGAATGAATCTTACTTGAAATATAGAAGTTTGACATAAAAATTAAATTGGAGATGTTAAAGTGGGCTTATTACAATACCTTTGTATTAAGAGTAAGTTAATATTGGGATGCTTGTAATTATACGTAAGGTCTCTTTTTACTCTTATAGGAAACTAAGAAGAGGAGACCGATTTACAGATTTGTGTTTCTTGAATTCTCCTGTTTTCAAGCAAAAAAAGGACTGTAAGCACAGATCTAAGAACAAACGTATTAAGCAAATATAATGAAACTTTTGTTAGATGCCCGTGAAATGTATCCTACAACCCCCTCTGTTGCTTCTGAGAAGATGTGTCAGTAGTGCACAAGTAGTACACAAGTGGGTCAAATATGCCATGGAACATTATCTTGAAAGGACTTTAGATCATGAGCATTTCTTTAAAACTGTACTGAAAATTTAATAAATTTGGTTTAGTGGTTTTTTGTTGCTTTTTTTTTTAACTTTAACAAGACTTAAGCACGAAAATAGTTTATATTTTTTATGCTGTCTAAAATCTTTCATATTGCCAAAATGTATCTTATTTTGAAGTTAGTGATTATTTAAATTAAGATATTTTAATGATTAACTTTTGGCCTCTATTTTTCCCTAAAGTAGGGGATACTAGAGTTAGTGATGTTTGAAGACAGAATGCAAATGTTTTGAAATTCCTTATTGAAATTTGAATAACGTAAATTCTTTTCATTAACAGTAAAGTGTGCTCTAAGTTGTTTATGGATCCCTTGTACCACTGTTGTATTTAATCTGTCAGATAAATGTGTGTGAGATCACGATTAGAGAACTTGTGGTTCAGGAACAAGGTACGCAACTAGCTCTGAACCTCCAGTTTTAAGCGTGCATTCAAAGTGATGCCTCAGCAAATTCACATATTACAGACTTTCGGAATAAATCTTTAGTCAAAACCCTCAAATATGAGGATACCAGGGGCTTTGTGTATTTGCTTTATGTAAAGTTTTTGATGAACGAATGGGAGACAGTTAGTTCAATTTTATTTCTTTAAACTCTTAAAAGCACTGTAGTTTGTCCATATTTGAAGACCAATAAAGTTTTGTATAAAATTGTGCTTGTGTTTTTCTTTGGTTATTTAAATACCAAAGATCGATTATCCCTCAGGATGTCTTACTTTCTAATTAGTCCTTCTAGGACATTTGTTTTGTTTTCCTCAGTATGCTCTATGTGTAGTCATTGCCATGAAACACTCAGCTTCCTCTCCACATTCTTGTCCTAACACTTCTTTCTTTCTAACTTTTAATTGTGGAATATCCAGATCTGTGATCAACGAATTCTAATTCTTACTGGGTTACCCTTCCAATCCTGACCTGTTTTTCTTAACTACATCTCCATATCTTTTTGTATTCTACCTCAACCACACCCCAGTTTTTTCTGTATCCTAAATCACTGATTCATACATCTTATTCTCCCATCATCGCCTCTTATTCTTCCAGTTTCTTTAACTACTCTTAAACCTGTTTTTTATTGTTGTTGTTAATATTCAAGGAATCTGGAATGGTGGCTATCTTAATTTAAATTCACTAAAATTTAAAATGTAGTCCCAGTTATCCATTTTAAAGTGCTCAGTACTCACATGTGACTAAAGCCACTGCTGGCAAGTCGATTCCAACTCATACTGAGGCTATAGGAAAGAGTAGAACTGTTCATAGATGAGCCAAGGCTGTACAGCTTTCTAGAAGCAGACTAGCATCTTTCTCCTGCAGAGCAGCTAGTGGGTATGAACTTTTCACTCTTCGATTAGCAGCCCAACTCTAAACTCAACGTGCTCCTTTGCATGTGGCTAGCATACTGGAGAGTGCAGGTACAGAACATTTCAATCATAGAAAGTTCATTGGTCAAACCTACAAGCTCTAGATCAGCAGTTGTCAAACTAAAGTCTATGGACCAAGTCTGGCCTGTTCCATCAGATACCTCCAATTAATTTTGATGATTGCAAACAGTAGTTAAGTACTTACATACTAACCTTGAGTTTGCTGCTTGACTTGTAAAGCATAAAATAACTACTTTCTAAAGGAGCTCTGGTAGTGTAGTGGTTACATATTAGGCTGCTAACCTCAGGGTCAGCAGTTCAAAACTACCCGCTGTTCCACAGGACAAAGATAAGGCTCTCTGCTCCCATAAAGATTTACAGCCTTGGAAACCCTATACAGGGTCACTATGAGTCGGAACCGACTCTAAGGCACATAGCAAGTCCTTCACAGAGAAACCTTGCCAACTCTTGGTTTAGACCACTGACGACTTGCTTTGTAGATTCTTTTCTGACACTTTCGCCTTCCTTTTATCCTCAGAGTCAACCATTATCCAAAAATCGGTGCTTAACTTTTTGTATATTATGTATTTCTGCTGTCTGTATATTATGTATTTCTGGTCGTATCCATAGATTGTAAGTATTGCTTTGTATTTTAACAACAGACATTTAACCCAGTGTTTCTGAGATTTGTCCATGTGGGCTCATGTAGATTTTTATTGATTTTTTTTAATTTTGTAAAATAAATCAATTCTCTTCAGAAACTGTTTTTACTTTTTCATTATTACAGATTAGTACGTCCATGAACAGTGGTGCTTAAGTTTCCTTGGAGTGGATATTTAGAAGGGTCTTTCAGTTACAATGTAGATTAAAATCTAACTTTACTATGGTTACCAAAGTGCTCTCAAAAGTGGTTGTACCAATTCTGGAACAAGGAATGTATTATTAGCAATATAAGTCCCAGCCTCCCTATATTTGGTGTTATTGGACACAAATTAACCAAACCAATGAATATAAAATGTTTTCTATTTAATTAGAAATGACATTGTATCATTGAATTAATTATGAAAATTCAAGTGTTTATTGCTCATTCTTAATCTTTGCATGGAGTGTTCTTCGTCCACTTTTCCACTAAGGAGTCGTGGTGGTACAAAGTTAAGGTTTGGACTAGGGTTAGGAACTAGTGTTATAGTTAGCAGCCGGGCTAAGACTTGGTCTAATGCTGGGTAAATAGTAGGGTTTGGTCTATATTCAGGATGCTGTAAAAGTGCATTTGAGTCAATTCTGACTTGTAGCAATGTTGTATAGGATTTCCAAGGAATGGCCAGTGGGTTTAAACCACCAACCTGTGGTTAGCAATCCTGTGCTGAACCTACAGCGCTACACTAGTACTCCCAAGTATAGTATATCCTCTTATCAATTTTTCCTTAAGATTTTGGTCTAAAATTTTTAGTTTTGCTTTTCACTTTAAGATCTTTGAAACATGGTTTTCTGAGAGTTGCTGTTGTTAAGTGCCATTGAGCCTATTCTGATCCATAGTTACCTTGTATAGGGTTCCCAAGGAGTGGCTGGTGAGCTTGAACCATTGACCTGTGATTCAAACCAACATAGAGATCTAATTTTATCCCTCCATGAGGGAACCAGCTGTATCCATTGATTAATCCATCCATTTCACCTCTTGAATATAGCTGTCTTTGCCATAAACCAAGCTTTCCGTTGGTCTAGCTTTTATCTGTGATCATAAGTAAAATTTGTCAATCTTTTTTTTTTTTTTTACATGTTGTTGTTGTCAGATGCCATCGAGTCGGAACCGACTCATAGAGACCCCATGCACAGCAGAACGAAACAATGCTCGATCCTGCGCCAACCTCACCACCGCTGCCACCCCTAAGTCCATCAATGATGCGACCTGGCCGGTCCATCTCGTTGGGGTCTTCCTCTTTTTCTCTGACCCTCCACCCTACCCAGCATGACATCCTTCTCCAATGATTGTTTCCTCCGGACTACATGTCCAAAGTAGGAGAGACGAAGTTTAGGCATCCTGGCCTCCAAGGAGCACTCTGGCTGCACTTCTTCCAAAACAGATCTATTGGTTCTTTTGGCAGTCCACGGCACCCTCAGTATTCTCCTCCAACACCACAATTCAAAGGCATCAATTCTTCTACGATCCTCCTTATTCACTGTCCAGCTTTCGCATCCATATAAGGCTATTGAAAACACAATGGCCTGGGTCAGGCGCACCCTAGTCCTCAAGCTGACATCTCTGCTCGTCAATACTTTAAAAAGTTCCTGTGCAGCAGATTTGCCCAGTGCAATACGTCGTCTGATCTCTTGACTGCTACTTCCGCGAGTGTTGATAGTTGATCCAAGAAGAATAAAGTCCTTGACAACTTCAATCTTTTCTCCATTGATAAGAATGTTGTTTATTGGTCCAGTGGTGAGGATTTTTGTTTTCTTGACATTGAGATGTAATCCATATCGAAGGCTGTGCTCTTTAATCTTCATAAGTAAATGTTTCAAGTCCTCTTCACTTTCAGCAATCAAGGTTGTATCATCTGCATATCGCAGGTTGTTAATGAGTCTTCCTCCAATCCTGATGCCACGTTTTTCTTCATAGAACCCAGCCTCTCACGTTATTTGCTCAGCATATAAGTTGAATAAGTATGGTGAAAGAATACAACCCTGTCTCACACCTTTCCCAATTTTAAAACATTCAGTGTTCCCATGTTCTGTTCGAACAACTGCTTCTTGGTCTAGGTACAGATTTCTTAGAAGTACAATTAAGTGTTCTGGAATACTCATACTTCTCAATGTTGTCCATAGCTTGTCATGATCCACACAATCGAAAGCCTTTGCGTATAACCTTGATACTAAAATCCCAAGGTGTATTTTTTTACATACACCTTGGGATTTTAGTATCAAGGTTATACTGTTAAGTTGTTATGTGCTATTGAATCGGTTCCAATTCTTAGCAACCTTTTGTAGAGTTTCCAAGAAGCAACTGGTAGGTTTGAACTACCGACCTTGTGGTTAGCACTCTACTGCTTATCACTCACCAGGACCCTCAACATTATACTGTTGTTAAGTGCAGTCTAGTCGGTTCCAACTCATAGTGATCCTGTATAGGGTTTTTGAGGAGTGACTGGTGGGATTGAACCACCAACCTTGCAGTTCAAACTGACTTTGCAGTCTAGAGCTTATCCTACGAAGCCACACCAAAACTCTTAAGGCTATACCAGCATCATAAAAGAAGTTGAGAATCTTTCTTCTATGATACAAGTTGTACTTAATGAGGTTTTGGTGGAACTAGCCATTAAAATCATATTATTCTGCTCTGGTAGCATAATGGTTACAAATCGGGCTGCCAACCTCAAGATCAGCAGTTCAAAACTACCAGCTGTTCTGAGGGAGAAAGATGCGGCATTCTGCTCCCATGAAGATTTACAGCCTCGGAAACCCTGTGCAGGGTC